TATAATCATTCTTTTAATATATTATATATAATAATAATAATAATACATATATAATACCTATATTAATACAATTCATCGAAATGACTATTTTTTATGCTTTAAGAGCGATCTTTTTATAATGAGGGTTTTAGAGGCAAACGCCTACCGACGTATTGCGACATCATTCTCCAAGCAACTCGGCTGAAATCGAAGCTTGTATAAGTATTACTAATTCGTCGCGGTGCGCCCGATCGACGCAATGCCCCTCTTACGCCTTAGCCCCAAAGTCCAAATCCCGTGTCGCAGCTTACAGGAAAAAGCTTTTATATGAAAGCTCGGATAGGAATAAGATCGCCGTCGTAAATTGCGCGCGAATCTAATCTTGCGGTTGAATGGTGCCACGTTCGTTTTTTCAGGTCCCTTTTTCTATTCTTCCTCGTTGATTCATAAATCCGCCTTCTTCCTCTTCTCTTCAAAAAAACAAAATTTATAAATTTTTTATCCCTAAAAAGTACGGTAATAGTAAGATGAGTTTGGCAAATTCTTCTTGCAATTAAGTCATCATCTTCAGAAAACAAAAAGAGCAATAATCTAAGAATCTCCAGCAGTTACATCTCGGGACGAAACGTCGCTCGCATCAGAAAGTCACGAACCTTCTGGCGAGCATCGACATCGGGGAACGAAATTCGCGATTCGTCGGGACTACGGGATACGCCGATACGCCACGATCATACGGATGAATCAGAAGAAACGCGAGAAAGTGGGGCCTGTCAGCGCGACATGATTTAAAGCCAAATATTACGACAGAACGCACATTCCTGCGACGTCCCCGGTTAAGCGAGAGACGAGGGTGAGCGACAGCAGCAGGGGATGAGCCGTAAGTCGTGCAGATATGTTGGCCGCGGTTTATTACCGGGACGGCGGAATGGTCGGCGGGGATGGAGGAACATTGATTTAATGCGGGAGTAATTGGGCGGCCGGACGTCTCTATGAGCACGCCACCTTCCACCGCTAATGCGTTCCCGCCCTTCTAACCTTTTGGCTAACCACCGTGTGAGCGAGCACGCTAGCTCTTCGCCTTCCTCTCTAACCTCTCTTCTGCCACCCTCGCTCCTTCTTCCATCCACGGGCGGGACGTGAGAAAGGCGAACGCTTTATTACTGCTTTTATTGCTCGGCGAGTTTTAGCCGCGCGTATCGCAGGTTGGATCGGCTTATGGCGCTTATTAAACTTTGATGTCACCAAATCGCTCTTTCACTCTCGTTTGTGTCTGGCTCCTCTTATCTCTTATATGCCAGTGTTACCGTGGCACGCGGACGTGAAAAGTGGAGTGGGAACATGATAATTTTATTGAAATTCAAATTTTATTGTGGAACATCCATCAGTAGGATCGATCATCAAGTACATCAAATATATCACCCCTCGTGATTTCGTGGAGAGTACTAATAGATTTCTTACAGTTACAAATTTTCTTTTTTGATACATATATAATTATCGGTCGACTAATTAAACGTGTTGCTTTAAATTTCGTAATCTTTGTAAAATTTGCATTTATTATTACTGGGCTAGCGTATTATTTTCGAATGTCGGTTTGACTTGTAACAATTAGTCACGTTGCTTAAGCACACGTATAACAGTGGAATGTGTATACTTAACTACCTAAGAGTAAGTTAACGGTCATTATAGGCAATCCTGTTTATTCTCGTCATCGCGTGCAGGAAATTAAAGGGTGCGTCTCGAGATTTGCGTGTAATGTAGCCAATGAAACGTTTCAGGTGTTGAGATTTTATTAGCTCAAATACCCTCGCGAAACGCTGCGCGCAGAATGTAAATGAAGCCGTGGTACGTAACGGTGCAACGAAATTACCGGTTCGAATATTTTCCATTGTATTTCTACACTGAGAGAGTACGACAACACACGTTTCAGTCGGCCGGGGGAATATATCGGGGGAGCTTTGCGCTACAAATCTTCCTCCGTGTAATATCAGTGAAGAAATTCTCGCGGGTGTTTCTCGTATTTCGCGAAACAGGACGCGGGACGAACGAGTTGGAAAGACTTCCGAAGCAACGCGACGCGACACGGAGCCCGTTCTCCTCGCTCGCACCATGTGTTACTAAGGTCGCCGAGAAGAGAAGCGGGGAAGCTTCCGAACGCTCGCAACAAAACGAACGAGGGACCGCAAACGTGCTCTACAAGTAGTCATAATACGTGGACCAGGGGCAGACTCGCACGTGGTGCGATCACGTCGAACGCCGTTCCGGCTCCCTCCCCTCCCCTCC